AACCACATGGTTGGGTAATCCACCCTGTGGCTCTTATGGCTGTGGCAGGTGCGTGGCCAGCAGATATATCTCTAAAGAATCTAAGGCAGTGAGTGACAGTATAGGCCAGGGATCAATTAAAATTAAAAACTTTTTTAATTGTAACACAAAGGGCCTGGTATATTTACTGTCTTGCTCCTGTGGACAAAAATACGTGGGCAAGACATTTAGAGCCTTTAAAGAAAGAATCATGGAACACGTAAGGTCCCCTAAGAATCGCCTTGAGACACCTGTTTCAAGACATCTCAAGGAACACCATCAGGGTGATCCTAGTAACTTGAAGTTTTGTGGCTTGGAATTAGTCAAGAGGCATCCGAGGCGTGGGGACTATGACCGACTATTAAGACAGAGGGAGTCAAGATGGATATATAGGCTCAAAACACTTCGACCCTTAGGTCTTAATGAAGGGTTTTCCTTTGCTCCTTTCATCTAATTTAGTGGGGAGACTCTACTGTCCAACTGCTTTTCTTGATATATGACATACTCTCTATTATTCTTGATATTAGACCCATAATGATCCATAATGATATTTCTGTCTACTTATTTTTTCTTCGGTTTACGATTGATACCACTCAAACTCTCTCTTTTTTAATTATTACACTTGCAGATTATTATTATTATTATTCACTATTTATGTTGCTTTCTTCCCCTTTTACTCTCCTTTTTTTTTTAAAAAGATTCCCCATTTTATAGGTTTATCATTCTATATACTATGAGAACTCTAGCAGTGCGATTTGGCTAGATATGCCTTTATGAATGTATGATAATGTTGAGTCGCTGTGATATATACATAGACAATTTATAGTGTGTCTTTACATCCTTTTTCCTATAGGGGGCGTTTGGTGAGATCGGTGTGGACGCATATGTATACCTCTTTGATACAAGCCTTCATTTAATATCTTTGCATATCTAAAGAGATCGTGCTGAGCGCATGCGCGGCTTATTTGATACACGCAAGCGCAGCCTCATTGGGGATTTGTTTGCACCCTGATCCACTACCACTCCTAATCACTCGGATTATGCTGAGTACCGGTTCCTGGGACCTCCCACCGCTGAACTGTATTGGCGGTCGGTATCTAGATACATCCCATTGGTTACAGGATTTGGCACCAGTTATATAAAAGGAGAGAGGGGGTAAGTGTATATTCTTTGCTCGTGCCCTTGAGAAAGGCGACTTTTATCGCCGAAACGCGCGTCGGGTTGTGGGTTTTTCATTACCTCTGCACACTGCTTTAGTATTAGCCTGTTATGCTATAATTTGCTTTCTATTTAGGGACTCTTTTGCTGACTGAGTCCTCTGTTCTGTATAGCCATAGTTAGTTGTGAGCATCATAGATTTTTTCTATACTACTTCCTACTTTATTTTCAATTATCTGTATCTCATAGAAACATAGAAACATAGAATGTGACGGCAGATAAGAACCATTCGGCCCATCTAGTCTGCCCAATTTTCTAAAAACTTTCATTAGTCCCTAGCCTTATCTTATAGTTAGGATAGCCTTATGCCTATCCCATGCATGCTTAAACTTCTTTACTGTGTTAACCTCTACCACTTCAGCTGGAATGCTATTCCATGCATCCACTACCCTGTCCTTTCGATTTATTTACCTTATAGAGCCTTGACTTGATATTAGCAAGAAGATTTTTTGTTAGCTCGATTGGATCCCTTAGGACTTTGGTTACAGTTAGTAGCTATAGAGGGAATACTGTTTTCCCATTTACATATGATTTCATTTCATTTAGACTAATTTGGGCTTAATATAACAGCTGATACTTATCATGCTGTGATCTCTGGATATTGGCTAGATCTACTGCTGCTATGCTATCTATGTTGCAACATTTCTCAATACAACACTTCTCACTAGATTTAGTTACATATTAGGTATTGAGTTGCATTTATTGTAACTATGTTGTGGCTTTTCTGAGCACAGTAGCTTTATATCCTTTAGTATTTATTCATATATAGCTTCAGACCAAGCAGTTTGGTGTATGTATATAGATATGTTTTTGTGTGGTTTTCTTTTTTTTTTAAACATTTTTTTCATCATTAATAAAACTTTATTTTTTTCTAAGCTGTCTGAGATACAGTTTTCTGCAAGCTTTTATATATGTATTGCTCTCAAGGGGGTACTGGTTTTGATGGGATTGGCTCCCTCTCTAGGTAGAGGAGTATTTTTCCCTCATCTCCTTATTTTTTTTATTTCTTGTATATTCTAGGGTTAAGCCCTTTAGTACCCCTGTAACCCTTTCTGTACTTTTCGCCAGCTTGCTTCCTGGTCAAGAGTACTGTGTATACAGGGAGTGCAGAATTATTAGGCAAGTTGTATTTTTGAGGATTAATTTTATTATTGAACAACAACCATGTTCTCAATGAACCCAAAAAACTCATTAATATCAAAGCTGAATATTTTTTGAAGTAGTTTTTAGTTTGTTTTTAGTTTTAGCTATGTTAGGGGATATCTGTGTGTGCAGGTGACTATTACTGTGCATAATTATTAGGCAACTTAACAAAAAACAAATATATACCCATTTCAATTATTTATTATTACCAGTGAAACCAATATAACATCTCAACATTCACAAATATACATTTCTGACATTCAAAAACAAAATAAAAACAAATCAGTGACCAATATAGCCACCTTTCTTTGCAAGGACACTCAAAAGCCTGCCATCCATGGATTCTGTCAGTGTTTTGATCTGTTCACCATCAACATTGCGTGCAGCAGCAACCACAGCCTCCCAGACACTGTTCAGAGAGGTGTACTGTTTTCCCTCCTTGTAAATCTCACATTTGATGATGGACCACAGGTTCTCAATGGGTTCAGATCAGGTGAACAAGGAGGCCATGTCATTAGATTTTCTTCTTTTATACCCTTTCTTGCCAGCCACGCTGTGGAGTACTTGGACGCGTGTGATGGAGCATTGTCCTGTATGAAAATCATGTTTTTCTTGAAGGATGCAGACTTCTTCCTGTACCACTGCTTGAAGAAGGTGTCTTCCAGGAACTGGCAGTAGGACTGGGAGTTGAGCTTGACTCCATCCTCAACCCCAAAAGGCCCCACAAGCTCATCTTTGATGATACCAGCCCAAACCAGTACTCCACCTCCACCTTGCTGGCGCCTGAGTCGGACTGGAGCTCTCTGCCCTTTACCAATCCAGCCACGGGCCCATCCATCTGGCCCATCAAGACTCACTCTCATTTCATCAGTCCATAAAACCTTAGAAAAATCAGTCTTGAGATATTTCTTGGCCCAGTCTTGACGCTTCAGCTTGTGTGTCTTGTTCAGTGGTGGTCGTCTTTCAGCCTTTCTTACCTTGGCCATGTCTCTGAGTATTGCACACCTTGTGCTTTTGGGCACTCCAGTGATGTTGCAGCTCTGAAATATGGACAAACTGGTGGCAAGTGGCATCGTGGCAGCTGCACGCTTGACTTTTCTCAGTTCATGGGCAGTTATTTTGCGCTTTGGTTTTTCCACACGCTTCTTGCGACCCTGTTGACTATTTTGAATGAAACGCTTGATTGTTCGATGATCACGCTTCAGAAGCTTTGCAATTTTAAGAGTGCTGCATCCCTCTGCAAGATATCTCACTATTTTTTGACTTTTCTGAGCCTGTCAAGTCCTTCTTTTGACCCATTTTGCCAAAGGAAAGGAAGTTGCCTAATAATTATGCACACCTGATATAGGGTGTTGATGTCATTAGACCACACCCCTTCTCATTACAGAGATGCACATCACCTAATATGCTTAATTGGTAGGCTTTCGAGCCTATACAGCTTGGAGTAAGACAACATGCATAAAGAGGATGATGTGGTCAAAATACTAATTTGCCTAATAATTCTGCACTCCCTGTATATTTAGAATAGAAAGAAAGTGACTCCTAAATAGGGACACTTGGAAGGTATGGTCTGTAGAAAGATTCACCCTGCTTATGAGTAATCCATACAGTGCATTCAGAAAATATTCAGACCCCTTCATATATTCACATTTTTATGTTGCAGCCTTGTTTTACATTTTTTTACATTCTTGTTTTCACATCAGTCTACACTCAGTAGCAGTTTTTTGATACCATTGCAAATATATTAAACAAAAAAAACCCTGAAATATCAAGTTGACAAAAATATTTAGACCCTTTGAAGTATATTGGATATGGTGCTACAAGCTTTGCATATTGGGATTTTGGGTAGTTCCTGCTATTCATCTCTGCAGATCGGTGGAATAGCCATTTTCAGGTGTCTCCATAGATGATTAGTTGGGTTTACGTCTGGGCTCTGGCTGGGTCAGTCAAGAATATTTACAGAGTTACCCCTAAGCCACAGTTATGTTGTATTGGCTGTGTGCTTTTGGTCATTGCATTGTTGGAAGGTGAACCTTCAGCCGAGCCTGAAGTCTTAAGCACTCTCAACCAGGTTTTCATTTTGGTATTTTGCTGCATTTAACTTTTTTTTTAAATTTATTTATTTTATAAATTCTTTATTTTGTTTGTGCTTGGAGTAAAAGGAAGCGTGCAGAGCCACAACAGCTGCTGCAGGCATAGTCATAGCAGTTCACATTGCGGCATTTTAAATAGCACATTTTTGTATGATATGAAGTTAACAAGCTCTGAGACGTCAGCAGTTTGTAGTACGTAGTAAACATGCTATAACATGAAGTTAACAAGCTAGGAGACATCAATGGTTTATAGTAAGTAGTAAACATGCTAGGCTAAGTATGCATACGATAAAGTTTGTTGCGCTTAAGATTATGCTCCTAGGAAGGTATGTAGCATTGCGTTGGAAAAGATCAGGGGAGTGACAGAGGCAAAGCACTACATGCACATTCATCTTAGCAATATATAGTTAACGTAGTGGGTTATGTTGCTATGTTGTTATGTTGTGCTGGGTTGTATGTTGTTTGTGGGTAGGTTGGTATCAGTGAGGAGGGAGAGAGACCAACTACCGAAACAAAATATTTGGCTACATGTCATCCTCTCATTCGCAATCCGAGTCTGATTGTTTAAGGCGAAAGGATTGTTCACCCACTAATAGGGAATGTGAGCTGGGATTAGACCGTCGTGAGACAGGTTAGTTTTACCCTACTGATGATTGTGTTGTCGCAATAGTAATCCTGCTCAGTACGAGAGGAACCGCAGGTTCAGACATTTGGTGTATGTGCTTGGCTGAGGAGCCAATGGGGCGAAGCTACCATCTGTGGGATTATGACTGAACACCTCTAAGTCAGAATCCCCCCTAAAAGTGATGATATCGCAGCGCCGAGGAGCCTCGGTGGGCAGAGCCGCTCGCTTAGAGACCGGAAGGCAGACGGAACAAGGGCGTGCCATCTCTCTCCAAGCGCACCGCACGTTCGCGGGAACCCGGTGCTAAATCATTCGTAGACGACGGGGTTCTGGGTCAAGGTTTCGTGAGTAGCAGAGCAGCTACCTCGTGCTAGCTGCTGTGTCAGCCATTTCTGCTTTTATTATTTTATACCAAATAAATGTTTATTTTAACACTTCACCTTACCTGGTTCCTGAGTTCCTGCTAAGAGAAACCTATTACAAACATCTAAGAGGGGGATCAGATCCAGTGTATCCCTTGGTGGATGAAATACCTTTACAGTCCAGAGCCTGGAAAGTGTGAGTGAACCTTTTTTATTCTCCACATATTGTAAATAGGTTTCAACAGTATACACTATGTTGTTTTCTTGTATATATTATATATAGGGTCCACAGTTACTGTCTGTTGCTGAAAATAGGACCTATACAAGATTTGAAAGGTAAAATATTCCACTGTTTGTGTGCATTTACCTTTTTTTCTGTTCACTATACAGGGAGTGCAGAATTATTAGGCAAATGAGTATTTTGACCACATCATCCTCTTTATGCATGTTGTCTTACTCCAAGCTGTATAGGCTCGAAAGCCTACTACCAATTAAGCATATTAGGTGATGTGCATCTCTGTAATGAGAAGGGGTGTGGTCTAATGACATCAACACCCTATATCAGGTGTGCATAATTATTAGGCAACTTCCTTTCCTTTGGCAAAATGGGTCAAAAGAAGGACTTGACAGGCTCAGAAAAGTCAAAAATAGTGAGATATCTTGCAGAGGGATGCAGCACTCTTAAAATTGCAAAGCTTCTGAAGCGTGATCATCGAACAATCAAGCATTTCATTCAAAATAGTCAACAGGGTCGCAAGAAGCGTGTGGAAAAACCAAGGCGCAAAATAACTGCCCATGAACTGAGAAAAGTCAAGCGTGCAGCTGCCACGATGCCACTTGCCACCAGTTTGGCCATATTTCAGAGCTGCAACATCACTGGAGTGCCCAAAAGCACAAGGTGTGCAATACTCAGAGACATGGCCAAGGTAAGAAAGGCTGAAAGACGACCACCACTGAACAAGACACACAAGCTGAAACGTCAAGACTGGGCCAAGAAATATCTCAAGACTGATTTTTCTAAGGTTTTATGGACTGATGAAATGAGAGTGAGTCTTGATGGGCCAGATGGATGGGCCCGTGGCTGGATTGGTAAAGGGCAGAGAGCTCCAGTCCGACTCAGACGCCAGCAAGGTGGAGGTGGAGTACTGGTTTGGGCTGGTATCATCAAAGATGAGCTTGTGGGGCCTTTTCGGGTTGAGGATGGAGTCAAGCTCAACTCCCAGTCCTACTGCCAGTTCCTGGAAGACACCTTCTTCAAGCAGTGGTACAGGAAGAAGTCTGCATCCTTCAAGAAAACATGATTTTCATGCAGGACAATGCTCCATCACACGCGTCCAAGTACTCCACAGCGTGGCTGGCGAGAAAGGGTATAAAAGAAGAAAATCTAATGACATGGCCTCCTTGTTCACCTCATCTGAACCCCATTGAGAACCCGTGGTCCATCATCAAATGTGAGATTTACAAGGAGGGAAAACAGTACACCTCTCTGAACAGTGTCTGGAGGCTGTGGTTGCTGCTTCACGCAATGTTGATGGTGAACAGATCAAAACACTGACAGAATCCATGGATGGCAGGCTTTTGAGTGTCCTTGCAAAGAAAGGTGGCTATATTGGTCACTGATTTGTTTTTGTTTTGTTTTTGAATGTCAGAAATGTATATTTGTGAATGTTGAGATGTTATATTGGTTTAACTGGTAATAATAAATAATTGAAATGGGTATATATTTGTTTTTTGTTAAGTTGCCTAATAATTATGCACAGTAATAGTCACCTGCACACACAGATATCCCCCTAACATAGCTAAAACTAAAAACAAACTAAAACTACTTCCAAAAATATTCAGCTTTGATATTAATGAGTTTTTTGGGTTCATTGAGAACATGGTTGTTGTTCAATAATAAAATTAATCCTCAAAAATACAACTTGCCTAATAATTCTGCACTCCCTGTAGCTTTTTTATTTGGTGTAATAAGTGACTGTACACCGAGGTGTTTTTAAGCTGCACCAGTTGTAGTATTTTGTGTATAGCGCCCTTTTCCCTTCTATTGTGTATTTCTTGAAAGGATTACAGGATAACAAGTTGTGCCCCCTAACTTTGTGAGGGTAGAAGCTCAGTGCTGTATGTTAACCTTACTGTGTGGATGGTTTGCAGCCTGTAGACTGGCGTTTAGTAGGTGGTCTAAATTTTGCATCCATTCTTGTTGTTATAAAAGTAATAACGTAGAAAGAAAGGTACAGCAAGGACTGTTTTGTCACATAACATATTCCTTTTCTAACTTTTGGCATCTCTGTAAAACTAGTTTTTTAAAGACATAAGCATATATTGTTCCAACGGTAACAGAAAGCTTTGTGAGGCTTCTCTACGTTTACATGTGTAGTCAAGTCGATCGTAGACCATAATAACTGAACATTTAACTTAGATGCACTTTTGCCATACAGTGTGGGAGGCTAAGTTAAAGTAACTTGCAAACCCTCCTAGTGTTGTGCCAGGCATGTCAAGTGTTTCTCAGTGGTAGTGAACATTGGTGGTGGGTTGCAGTGAGTATGTGAGAAGCTGCTAGAGGGAAATGGAGGCGTGTATTTAACTAGCTCTGGAAGTTTTCACTGAAGCGAGCATTTCTGAGCCATTGCGCCAGGCAGGGTGATGGCTGTGAGGGTATGTGAGGTAGAACAAACCTCAACTTTACTTATGCTAACATGAGGCTCTTGTGTGAGGCAGGTCCCCTGTTGGCAAGTCCCCCTGTGCGGTAAGGCAGGCGAGTGTCCAGAGGTGTGTGGAGGTATATATGTGTGAGTGATCATGTATGTGTGTGTGGTCGGTTTCGTGTAGCCGTGTCTGTTTGTGTCCCCCAGTGGCTCCCAGAATGATGTGTGTCCTTGTCCGATTGTTTGTTTAATAAGTGTGCGTGACATATACATATATACATTCTCACTTATTATATAGAAATTGCAACAAAGAAAAATATTTTTTTCACAGTTTAGGCAATAATTTATCGAGCTTAAATTAATTGATGTGTCCTGATGTGTCACACATTTAGACTAGAAGAATGGAGATTTAGTCTAATGCAAAGGAAAGGTTTTTTTTTACAGTAAGAACAATAAGGATGTGGAATTCTCTGCCTGAAGATGTGCTTTTATCAGAGTCTATCCAGATGTTTAAACAGTAATTGGATAAATACTTGCAAAAACAAATATACAGGGATATAAATTTTAATTAGTGGGGTAATAGCTTCTTCATCCAAGGAGGTATCTGACTGCCTTGACTGGGGTCATGAAGGAATTTTTTCCTACTTTGTTTTTTTGTCAATCATTTTTTTTATTCTTAATCCAAACAATTATACAGGTAGTGCACAATGTTGAGAAAAATAAGTAACAAGGTTTAAGACATCACAATACATTTGTGCCTAGCCACGGCAGTAGCAGTTTGAGCATGATAATTAAGTTTTTACTATCGTAGTAACAAGATATATATTCTGTTATACCGTGCCAACTGTTCCCTACAGGAGATCGCTAGGTGGTTCAAATATTACAGAAAGGTGGGCTGGCGCTGTGCCCCTTGTCGTAGTAAGGACATAGGCTGGGAGTGAACCCACTTAGTGTGACAAGAGGCTGATACCCACTGATTTGTACAATGACATATAACAGAGCTAGAGAGTGTGGGTGGGGGTGGGGGGGAGAGATAGAGTAAGGGGGACTAACCCCATATACCAGCAAAGAGAAGGGGTGTGTGACGTCACGTGCTGCAATGGGCACTCAGCTGATAATTGTCATGCCAACAGTAATATAGAATTCAACAACAATCAAAGCAAATAAAACTAAACAATAATAAACTAAAGGAGGTTTTTGTAATGAATTCATCTGCTTATGGTAAAGTGGTTAATGGTATTTACCATTCTGACAGGAATAGTTGTGCCCATTTACAGCCGTGCGCCCGGATACCTGATAATCCCAGCATGTCTAGGGACGCCGGCCGCTGTGGTTCTATGCCACCTTATACCCCCTGTGGTGACATTCTGTCATCAAACTAATATGGAGACCAGGGATCACGTGACCAAGCTCATGTACAGTGGGATAAGCTTTACCTTTTGATATGGCAATTGAGTAATTCAATACCTTTACAAGCCAGGAAAGAGGCTATCTCCATTCCTCTCTGTTCCCTCTTGGCTGTGCTACTGAGCAGTCCCTTAAGCAGACATGGCCTAATTTCTATCATGGTGAACTGTGAGTGGGATTTTATAAGATGTGTTAGTTAGATTGTGTGTCATTATTTGTATGTTGTTGTTGTTTTGTCTCTGAATAAATATTTGTTAAAGTAGATGGGCCAGAGTTTATATGTGTATGCGTACATAATAATTTATAGAGTTTGGTAATACACCACACGCCCATGACCGCCCATGTTGAGAATAACGTCGGCATGTGCGTGAGATCACACGCGCGCACGTTTTGAAGTCAAAGGCCGATTACAGCCAATCGGAATAACAGGAGGGTTATTTAAACTTATTTTTACATTCATTCTCTCATTGCCCAGTCGTGGTTTCTGTCTGATGGTAATCCGAGAGTGCGTTCCTGATCTTGATTTTTTGGTATTTGACTTTGGCTTCGTATTGACTTCCCTGATTTCTGGTATCCTTAACTTTTGACTTTTCCTCATCGTTGTGTCTGATTCTCTATCCCTGACCTCGGCAAGTATTCTGACTATACGTTAAGTCCGGCCACTCTAAGGTCCGGTTAGACGTTATCCTTAGTCCTAGGTGTGATACAGTTCTGTGTGCGGGATCAATTAGTAATCCTGACAGTTTTGCTTGTTGTAGGTATATGTGCGGCTGGGGCGTTCAGGCCACCGCAGTGAATGCTGGATTTCCCAGTTGCCGGCAGGCATGAACAGATGGGCCCTGGCAGGATCCTAGGCTGTATGCCGCGGGGGTGGTTTTGGCTGCTGTTGTTCTCCGGTGTGCAAAGACAGTCCCAGTGTCTGCAAAGATCCAGCCACTTCAGAGGCATCAGTAATTTTTAAAGTCCCAATATTGCGGAGAACCAGCAGACTTC